AGAGTTTGCTTCATCTAGGTTAAGTGAATATTCACCTACATGGTAGGGGGATGAGGAAAGCCTGGCTTACACTACAAAAGCAATAACAAAAAGAGCATACTGTCACTGCCCTAAATGAGAGGTCAATTGAGGAAGAGCAATAGGAGTCTCTAAAGTGTGATCAGAACCAGCAAGTAACCACAGAGGCCATGACAGAGCTGTGCTAGCAGAGCAGTGAGGGGAAAAGTTGCAAGAGCTGCTGGATGCCCATCAGGATATATTCAAAGCATGCAACGATGACAGTCACACTGACCTTATCCAACATTGGGTCGACACTGGTGAGACAATGCCTATCAAGCAATAACTACACTGGCTTATACTGGCAAAGCAACAGCAAGCGGATAAAATGATATAATATGTATGATGTGTATATATAATCATAGCAGCTTGCATCACTGAGCCCTTCAGCCGCCTGTAGGCAACGACAGTGGTCATGATCAAGAAGAAGGATGGCAGCTTGGGGTTAAGTATGGACTATACGTGGCTCAATGTGGTCACTAAAATGAATTCTAACTCTCAGACCTCACACTGATTATGCCTTGGACATCATGTCTGGCTCACAGTGGTTCAGCCACCTGGACCTGTGCAGTGGCTACTGGCAGGATGTGTGCCCAGAGGCCAAGGAGAAGGCAGCATTGCCCCTGGGGGCAAGGGTGGTAGCATTTGCAGGTGATGCCCTCTGGGCTGTACATTGCTCCTGACCCTTTTGAGAGGCTAATTAAGCAGGTGCTTGCTGGGATGCCTCAAGAACACTGAACGGTCTACTTTGATGACCTCCGTGTCCATGTGCCAGATTTAAATGGGGCCCACGTCAACCTATCTGAGGTCTTTACTGCAATTAGGAAAACTGCTCTCAAACTTCTTTATGCCAACTGCTACCTCCTCCAATTCTAGGTAAAGTTCCTGGGTCACATAGTAGGTGCAGAGGGCACCCATTTTCTTTGGACCTAGGGAAGGTCAACACTGTCCAGTGATGGCCTAGATAGATAGATAGATAGATAGATAGATAGATAGATAGATGGATGGATGGGCTATATACTGTAATGAACAAGCAGCTTTGTTTAAAGTGGGCTTTGAAAAATACCATTGCTGACCTAGGCAACTGCTAACATTGCCCATGCTAGGATCTGCTACTGACTGTGGTGGCAAAGTCAACAAAATCAGTGAAAGGTTCCCCGCTATGCAAAAGAGAACATATGACACCTGCTGCTAGTGGGCAAGCACCATTTAGTAATTTATTGAGTGTGGGTTGGGGAGAGCAGTGCACAGTAATGGCTTGAGTGGACCATTATGCCCACTTAATACTGAGAGCTGAGAGTGGACCAGCCCAGAACCTGCTGTGGTGCCTGAAAGGAGTAACGCTGAGTTTTAGAGATAGATGAATCTAAGACAAGCCTACAGGAGAATGACACTCTTTGCATTTACATAGATAATGGACTTTATCAGGTTGGGGGACCCTTAGGACGGGGCAGTGTTACAGTGTCTCTTCCTGCTTCCACGTGTATTCTGACTATTCAGCAGGGATTCTCACACTGTCGTTTTTTTTTGCTTATTAATGTGTGTTCATTATAGCTCAGCATTACCAAGTAACTTGCTGTTACCGACTACAGTTACATCTTGTGGTTCACTGTCATTGCTTCAAAATCAATATCTCTCATTGCTCTCATTACTGTGAAAAAATGTTACAATGCCTTTCTGGACAAAAACATAAAGAAAAAAAATGTGAAGATTTAAATCCTTCTGAAGTTGAACACAGTTTACCTGAGCAGATGACTCCAGCATCTTTGGAATGATCACAGTTATGTTTGCTCAATTTTGATGATGAACAGGTCTTCAGTGTGGACTCTGATCCCCTGCAGTGCACATCATCCATCCAAATCGGTCCTGATCCTGGTCCAAAGTGAGCATCACTGAGCGCATCTACAGCCTCTCCACAGCCCAGCTCTCTACACACCACTGCAGCATCTCTCATATCCCAGCCATCATCACACACTGTTCCCCACTGTCCTCTATGAAGAACCTCCACTCTCCCAGCACAGCGACTGCTACCATTCACCAACCTCACACTGTCTATACAACAGAGAAAGAGAGAGAGAGTCGAAAGCAGAAAGAAAATGAAAAAAAAACTTAACTCCTCAATAGTACGATTTATTTAAATGATGCAAAGAAAAATGGATTGTAGAAAAGAGGAAGAAATAGAGTGAGATGGAAATATAGACAAAATCATTTGAACTCAGCATAAAAAATTATTGGGTAAAATATTTTTTTTTACTGCAGCAACAACTCAGATTAACTGTGAATGCAGCTCTTACCAGCACACACCAGTCCCACATCATTGTCATAGGAGCAGTTGTGTTTGAGTGAAGATGATGTTGGACAGAAGTAAATCTGAGATTCGTTGCCTCTACACTGAAGCTCCTCTGACCACACCTGACCCTCCCCTCTGCCAAAAGCAGCTGCTCCGAGCACCTCCACTGGAAGCCCACAGCCCAGCTCTCGACACACAACCTCTGCATCCTGCTGGTCAAAGTCAGCATCACACACTGTGGACCAGGTCTCTCCATGAAGCACCTCCATTCTCCCAGAGCAGCGAGAACCACCAACCAGCCTGACTCCTGAAATGTTATGAAGAGAGAAAAGAGAACATTTAACAGTGATAAGGGTTAATGATGATTAATATAAAACTGTTGTCATATAATTATTTGATGGATGAACCTTAAACGACTTTAAAACACTGAAATATATACACCCATGAGTCAAAACATTATGACCCCCTGCCTAATATGCTGTTACGAGGAATGGATCCTGTGTTATCTGGCACCAAGACATTACCAACAGGTCCTGTAAGTCCTATACGTTGTGAGGTGCAGCTGTCACAGATCAGACTTGTTGTTCAAGTACATTCAATAGATGCATAATCAGACTGAGATCTGGAGAATTTAGAGGCCACGTAAATGGCCTGAACTCTTCATCATTTTCCTCAAACCATTCCTGAACAACACATACAAAGTGGCAGAGTACATTTTCCTGCTAAAAGAGGCCAATGCCATTGGGGAGCACCATTGCCATGAAGGGGTGTACCTGGTACATGACTTTATTCCATTGCTTCTAAGTCCAATTCCAATCCTTGCTTGCCCTTTGTAGGCACTTTCAATGGTGGACAAGGGTTAGCATGGGCACTCTGACCAGTCTGCAGCTACACAGCGCCTTATGCAGTAGGGTGTGATGTACTGTGTATTGTGACACATTCCTTCCATAACCATCATTAAAAATTTCAGTGACTTGGGTCACAGTAACACTTCTGTCAGGTCAGACCAGACAGGAAAGCCTTTGTTGCCCTTGTGCATCATGAGTATTGAGCACCCAACACCCTATCACCAGTTAGTGGTTTGTCCTTCCTTGGACCACTTTTGTTAGGTACTCACTACTACTCACCAGGAGCACCCCACAGGCTGTTTCTGAGATGCCTTGACCCAGTTGTCTGGCCATAATGATTTGGCCTTTGTCAAAGGTGTTCAAGTCTTTACAACTGTCCAATTCTCCTGAATCCAACACACCAACTACAAGAAATGACTGTTCGTTTATTAAAATATGTCAGACTTTAACATGTGCTGTTCTTACAAGATAATTAACTTTATTCACTTCATCCATGAGTGGTCATAATGTTTTGGCTCATCAATAAATGTGTGGAGAAACATAAGTAGTGCAGGTGCTTCCAGACAGGTGTTCTGTATGATACACTTATATAATGTACTTTACTGATCCCACAAGAAAAACCTGACATTTTGCCCATAACTATTCCCAGTCTGGGAGCAGCACAGCATCACCTGCACAGTGGATGAAAGTTTATTTGCTTTGCCTAAGGGCACAATCAAGTATACTCGATCAGTCCTGGGATTTGAAACCAGCGACCTTTCAGCTGCTGGATCACCTCTCAGTAAGGCACCAGCCTCCCTGGCATTGCAAGTCCTACCTTGCCCTGTGGCCTGTATAAAAAGGCTGAGCAATTCCAGTTAGCCTCTCAATCAGTATGGCAAGAGAACAAACTGTAAGTAACTCTGAAAGAGGGTTTATTTTTGATGTATCAATGACAGGAGTTTCAGTCACAAAGACTATTTATCCGACTAGTGTTTCAACAGGAATCAATGAGGTCTATGAGAAAAATATTAATAAACTGCATCAGGAATTGTAGTCAAAAGTACACATTCAATGACTTTGATTCTCAAACATTAGTCCAATATGTAAAGAGAAACAGATGTGCAGCAGTTTCTCAGGTGACTGAGAATGTCAATGCAGGATGTGATCAGACTGTGTCAGTAAAAACAATCCACCCCCACAAAAAGGACATTATAGCGAAGTTGCAAAGCATAAACTCTTTATTACAATGATGAGGGCACATTTGTTAGTTCAGGCACATAAATCATAGGCACTGGTCTACAGAGATGTAGAAAAACATATTGTGCACAAGTGGTCAAGTGCATGTGTGGTGCACACAGAGAGAACTGTACTGGCTTGAACAGCCCCTGAAGTCCGAACAGCGAGGGGGTCTGGTGGTTATGTGATGCAGTAGGGGGATTTTGCTGGCATGCTCTGACTCTGCTTGACCCCTCAGAGGGAGAGTTCACTGGAAATCAGTACTACGTTATTCTGACTCATCACCTTTACTTGATAAAGAAACATTTTTGTCCTGATTGGAGTGGCCTTTTCCAGGATGACAATGTTGTCATTCACAGGGCATGAGAGGTCACTGAATGGCTTAATGAGTATGACGACAACTTACTAAGACATTTTATGTTCATGATTCCTTTACTTTGTCACTTATCTCTATGTATATTTGCAAATGTTAAGGGAAAAGATTTAAAAATTAATTATGGATTCAGTGATGGATAAAAGAGAACAAATCAGTGCTGATCAGAAAAGGAGATTTGACTAATTCTGGTAATACGATTGGAATAGCTTACCTGAGCAGATAACTCCAGCATCTTTAGAGTGATTACAGGCATGTTTACCCCATAATGTTGAATGGCATTTCTTCAGTGTAGACTCTGACCCACTACAGTCCACATCAACCATCCAGATTGGTCCTGATCCTGGTCCAAAGTGAGCATCACTTAGAGCATCTACAGCCTCTCCACAGCGCAGCTCTCTACACACCACTGCGGCATCACTCATATCCCAGCCATCATCACACACTGTTCCCCACTGTCCTCTGTGAAGAACCTCCACTCTCCCAGCACAGCGACTGCCACCATCTACCAACCTCACACTGACTGTACATGGGAGAAAAATGGGAGTGACATGAAAAGAGAGAAAGAGATGAATATACACTGACCAGCCACTTCATTAAGCAAACCTCCTTGTAACTCATTGTCCATTTGATCAGATCATCTTACCATATAGGTGCACTTTATAGTTCTAGTCTACAGTCAGTTATGAAAGCATGTGTGTATAAAATTGGAGAATTTAACATCCATGTTTTTTTGCAATGAATCCAGTGTGTATCCGCTGTTTGCCTTGTAGTGTACTTGGCTAATTTTAATTGTAAACTGATCAGAACTTTTTTGGGACAAAGTGAAATCTGTATCTGCAGGCAGCAAGATGTCTGCAAGGGAGAACCAACAGCTAAATTTATGACTCAGGGTGCTAAACAGACTTTCAACCCCCTCCTCTTCTCACCTCAAACAAACCTACTTTTGACCCAGAGGTCTGAAGACTTTCTTTTTTTCCTTTTGACATTTGTACAGTTTAATTGCAACTTAATTGAACCTCATGCCACCTTTTTTAAACATCCTGAAGAGACGCTTGGACATCAGCGGAGTAAATTTTGGATACAGACAAATTATGACATTTGAAAATTCCTTTCCCTCTCTCACACACACATCTCACCTTCCTCCACAAAAAGAGACATCTAGCCTAAAACAGAGGCCAAGATGGCACCACCAACCAGCCTTGAGTGAGGGGCTAATGTGCTTTACAAGTCCCTTAGCAGACACCTTAGAAATTCTTTAGCATCGTAAATTCCTTTAGGGCTTTGCTAGAGACTGAACTTTAAACCTCTGCTTCTTTTTGTTCTCACTGGTAAACTATGGAACATCAGAATTTATTAAATCAAATGACTCTCTTTAATCAAACTGTGAAGAACACCTCTGTGACTGTGACATGAATTAATTATTCCTTCCCAAAGGTGAATTAATACCAAACTCTCTACACTTACAAGTTATTTTGATGTTTGAATTGTAACCCTGTTCCATTAATCTAGGTTATTGTGTTGATCTTTGATCATTTGTAACTGTGTTTATTTAATTCATTTAATTATTTTTTTCTTTTCTTTTGTTTGAGAAATATACAATCCATTTGTTTCTTTGAATAATAGTTTTAATGTTATATATCTGCTCTTCTTTCAAGTCTTTGTGTAGTTTTATTAGAAGTAGGATCATAAGATTTGTAGCTTGTTTGACTATATATATGCTTTAAGCATACAGTTTCTGCCAGCATATCTACAGAAATATTGGTGATAATGTACTCATTTTATTTTACTACACTGTAACCTTTCATTTAAGCATTGATTAGAAATGGTAGTGTGAGTTTTAACTTCAAAATTGTCTGTCTTAAGTAGTCGCATTTCTTATGTAAGTAGAATGGTTAAAGATTCAAGTAATTGTATGTAACCATGGTATGAAATATGTTTAGATTTGTAACAGTCACTATGGAAACAGTAATGTTTTATATGAAATTGCAGGCTTATAATATTCTTTTACTTCAGTGTTAACCACAATCAGACTCTCTCAAGTATCATGTAATGAAACTTCAGCAGCCCAGCAGACAAAGAAATTGCATATTCATTATATGAAACCAAACAAACCCACCAAAACCTTTTTCCTGCCTTAGCTCCGCCTTAACTCCACCCTCAAAGTTCTTTCCTTAAAGCCAGAAAACAGGAAGTTTGCCAGTTGGTCAAAGGGAGTGAGAAAGCCAACATGTAACCATAAAGAAACGACAAGGAAAAAGCCTGCTCTCCTTCTCTTTTGCACTTCAGTTCTGCAGTTCTTAAGTTTTAGTTATTTTGTTTCATGTCTCAGTTCATTTGTCTTTGTTCAGTTCATTTTGTTTTCATTTACTCAGTACTCTTAAAGTTTTGTGGACTTGGAGAAGGCTTACAACCATGTTCCCAGAGATATCTCATGGGAGGTCCTCCGGGAGTATGGGGTGCTGGGATGACTACTCCGGGCCATTCAGTCTCTGTACTCCCAGAGCGAGAGCTGTGTTTGTATACTCTGCATTAAGTCAGGTTCTTTCAGTGTTAGTGTTGGACTCCGCCTTGTTGCCTTGTCGCCACTCCTGTTCATGATATTCATGGACAGGGTGTCAAGGCGTGGCCGAGGTCAGGAGGGCATTATGTGTGGAGGCCGGAGGGTGGCATCTCTGCTATTTGCAGACGATGTTGTTCTTTTAGCTGGATTATATGGATGCCTCCAGCCCTCACTGGAGCATTTTGCAGTTGAGTGTGAAGCGGTTGGTATATGGATCAGCACCTCCAAGTCTGAGTCCATGGTCCTAGCCCTGAAAAGGATGGCATGCTCACTCCAGGTAGGGGGAAAGGACTTGCCCCAGGTGGAGGAGTTTAAGTATCTTGGGGTCTTGTTCACGAGTGATGGGAAGAGGGATCGTGAGATCGGCCACAGGCTGGGACAGGTGGCAGCAGTAATGCGGTCACCGTACCGGACTGTAGTGGTGAAGAAGGAGCTGAGCCATGAGGGAAGCTCTCTGTTTACTGGTCGGTCTACATCCCGACCCTCACCTATGGTCATGAGCTGTGGGTAATGACCGAAAGAATGAACTCACGAATACAAGCGGCGGAAATGAGCTTTCTTCGCAGGGTGGTGGGCTACACTCTACTTGATAGGGTGAGGAGCTCGGAGTAGAGCCACTACTACTCTGCACTGAGAGGAACGAGCTGAGGTGGTTTGGGCATCTGATCCACCTGGTGGGGGTGTACCAGGCACAGCCTACTGGGACAAGACCCTGGGGTCATCCTAGGACCTGCTGGAGGGATTATATCTCCAAGTTGGTCTTGGAGCAGCTTGGGGTCCCCAGGAATGAGCTGGAGAAAGTTGCGGGGGGCAGGGTCGTCTGGGATTCTCTGCTCTCCCAACTGCTAACTGCTACACTAACGCCTCTACCTCCACGGACTCAGTCAAAATCTTAAAGTTTGCAGATGACACTACAGTCATTGGTCTCATCCAAGACGGTGACGAGTCTGCTTACAGACAAGTGGTTGATCAGGTGGTCCTTTGGAGCAGCCACAACAACCTGGTGCTGAACACAGCGAAAACAGTGGAGATGACCGTGGACGTCAGGAAGAGCCCTCCAACCTTGGCAGCACTCACCATCCTGGACGGAACTGTGGTGACAGTAGAGTATTGCAAGTTCCTGGGCACAACAATCACCAGGGACCTGAAGTGGGACAGCAACATCAGGTCCATCATCAAGAGAGCCCAGCAGAGGATGTACTTCCTGCATCAGCTGAGGAAGTTTAACCTGCCCCAGGAGCTGATGGTGCGGTTCTACACAGCCATCATAGAGTCTGTCATCACCACATCCATCACAGTGTGGGGTATCTCAGCCACCAAGCATGACCTCCACAGACTGCAGCGCATCATCAGGTCTGCAGAGAGGACAATTGGGGTTTAGTTACCCACATTGCTGGAACTGCATGCCTCCAGAACCAGGAAGCGTGCAGAGAAACTCTCCGCTGACTCGTCACACCCCGGCCACCACCTGTTCCAGCTCCTTCCCTCAGGCTGGCACTTCAGCCAAATGAAGATCAGGACGTCCAGGCTACAGAGGAGCTTCTTCCCACAAGCGATTACTCTCTTAAACAGTTAATTATTACACATAAACAATATTCCAGCTTCTAAACTACAATTGTAAATATACTGGTATATAGTATCACACTCAACATTCCATCCTCTGAAACTACAGTCTCAGATCAGTGCTTCTTCTAGCATCTTACTTACCTGCCTTATTACCCCACTTATCTTGACTGTCAACTCACCGATCCCTTTCTTTGCCACTTTACACCCTTTAACTGTTGCTGGACTCAGCACTTTAACTGAAGACTCATACTTTGCACAATGTAAAGGTTACAGGTATGAATGTGTGTGTGTGTGTGTGTGTGTGTGTGTGTGTATGTGTGTGTGTGTGTGTGTGTGTGTGTGTGTGAGTGATGGTAGGAATGCATGTTTTATTTTATTTTTATTTCAGTTTTTTTTGTATTTTATTTTATTGTATTTTATTTTATTTTATATTTATTTTTTATTTTATTCACTACATGTAAATGTTTGATACTGTGCCCTGTGAGCCCCTGTACCCAAAACCAAATTCGTTCAATATCATTTTTTTCAAGTGTTTTGGACAAAGTTGTTTCTTCACAATTGACATCGTTCTTAAACACAAAAAAAGAAAAAAAAACATTTTGACTGTGTGTGTGTGTGTGTATGTATATATGTATGTATGTATATATATATATATATATATATATATATATATATATATATATATATATATTTATGCAGTGGTTAAGAGCAGTTTTTTCCAGCTAAAAACAACCTCCAGACTTAAATAATTTCTTACCCCAACTAATATGGAAAAAGTCATTCAACACCCTTGTTACATCCCAATTGGAATACTGACTGTCATGTGCTGGGGTCAGTGAAACACCTCTTGTTTATTCACAACTGGTTTAAAGAAGAGATGACATTATTCTAGTTTTAGCATCTCTGTATTGGCTCCAAATTTATTACAGAATCCAATATAAGGTAGCCTTATTTGTTTTTAGAGCACTACAAGGCCTTGCACCTACGTGCATGTCCATAATGTATGTAGAGGTAAGACCATGTACAAAACAATGTGCTCCTTCAGTATATTTATATTTAAGGTCTCAGTTTGAACTAAAAGGAGCACCAAGGCTTTGGAACAGCCTATAATTTGACATCAGACAGACATCCTCAGTGACTGTTTTTAAATCCAAGCTTTTTTATTGATCGGCTTTTATTAGCCATTCAGTGGCTTGTGCTGGTGTAACTATAGATGTGGTAGTGTTAAAGTGCATTTTATGTGTAAATGAAACTGGATCAAGTGGATTTTGTCCTTAAATTGTGAAGCACTTTGGTTTTAAATGTGCTATATAAATAAAATGTACTTATGCTTACTTACCACAGAGCAGGAATTATTTGGTTGGTGGATCATTCTCAGCACTGCAGTGACACTGATGTGGTGGTGACATGTCGGTGTATCGAGCTGCTACAAGTGGTTCAGACACAGCAGTGCTGCTGGAGTTTTTAAACTCACCAACCACAAATATCCAGCCAAAAACGTTTTGTGGGCAGCATCCTGTGACCACTGATGAAGCACAAGAGGATGAACAACACAAGCTGTGCAGCAACAGGTGAGGTATCATCTCTGACTTTACACCTGTGTCTAAAAGAGTGGACAGTGAGTGGACACAGTGTTTAAAAACTCTAGCAACACTGCTGTGTCTGTTCCTCTTACACCAGCACAACACACAAACATGCCATGTCACTGCAGTGTTGAGAATGATCCATCACGCAAATGTGGTGGTCCTGTGGTCATCTTAACTATTGAACAACAGGGTAAAAGGGGGCTAACAGATTATGCTAAGAAACTGATGGACTACAGTCTGTAATTGTAGAACTACAAAGTGCACCTATTTGGTAAGTGGAGATAAAATGGATAATGAGTGTAGATACAAAGATATGTACGTAATTAAGGGGTTGGTTATTGTATATTCATGCAGAGCCAGAGAGATGCAGAAAATTAAACCCCTAAAAAAATGTAAACACTATGAAAGCAACTATGAAAGATGTATTTCTTACAAGCACACAATACTCCCACATCACTGTCATGGGAGCAGTTGGGTTTCTGTGAAGATGATGTTGGACAGAGGTGAATCTGAGATTCATTGCCTCTACACTGAAGCTCCTCTGACCACACCTGACCCTCCCCTCTGCCAAAAGCAGCTGCTCCCAGCACCTCCACAGGAAGCCCACAGCCCAGCTCTCGACACACAACCTCTGCATCCTTCTGGTCAAAGTCAGCATCACACACTGTGGACCAGGTCTCTCCATGAAGCACCTCCACTCTCCCAGAGCAGCGAGAACCACCAACCAGCCTGACTCCTACAATATTATGAGAGAACAGAAACAAAGTGACATTCCTATGATGGAGAAAGTGGTTATTCAGATTTATTTGCATTAAAATGCACTAGATAATTCATAATCTTTTTAATTACCAAGGCCTGCATAAGCATATCCTATGTTTTCAATCCTTAATGATATATTAAAACATTGCAGCACACCTGAGCAGATGACTCCAACATCTTTAGAATGATCACAGTTGTGTTTTCCCCATCCTCTTGATCTACAGATCTTCAGTGTAGACTCTGACCCACTACAGTCCACTTTATCCATCCAGATTGGTCCAGATCCTGATCCAAAGTGAGCATCACTCAGTGCATCTACAGCCTCTCCACAGCGCAGCTCTCTACACACCACTGCAGCATCTCTCATATCCCAGTAATCATCACACACTGTTCCCCACTGTCCTCTATGAAGAACCTCCACTCTCCCAGCACAGCGACTACCCCCATCAACCAGCCGCACACTCCCTGTACAAGAGAGAGAAAGAAAAAATAAACAAAGGCTTTGCTCTACATGCTACTTCATCACATGTACATGCTGCAAAGTTACTTTATCTTTGTGTTTTTTTAAACCGAGTCAAATTAAATTGAAGTTACATTAAATTCTATATCTAGGACCTCTATATTGACCCTTTTCTGATCTTTGGGTATCTTACCCTCTGACTGGAGCGTGCTGTGGATTAGCTGGACATATTTGTTGCTGGTCTGCCGACTAGGCATCTTTTGTGTCTCACTTGCTGTTTTGGATGGCTCTGAAGATTCTGGGTCCTGACCCTGATTTCATCCACACTGCAATACTTTTTGAAATGTCCAAAGATTTTCTTAAATTTAGGAGGAGGGAAAGTGGCATGTATATATACTTTTATCTGGTCCACTTATCGTATAGGTCCATTTTGTAGTTATATAATTACAGATTGTAGTGCAACTGTTCTCCTGCATAATCATTTATTTACCCCATTGATCACTTATCAGGACCCAACACAGGACCAAATAAACAGGTATTATTTGGGGGTGGATCATTCTCAGCACTGTGGTGACACTCACAGGGAAATTACATGTTATTGCTGGGTCAGGTTTTCCTGCCGTCAAAAACATCTACACTGAACAGTTTATGAGGAATGCCTGCAGCATCAGGGAGGAACGTGATTTATTCTTAATGATGTTCACCTCCAGGTCAATACAGATAATGGGCCCCAGTTCTCCTCTACACTTGTAGAGACTTTGTTTATCACTGGTACAAGTGGATCAGGTACAGCAGTGTTACTGAAGTTTTTAAGCATTGTGTGCACTTACTGTCCAGTCTGTTAGACACATTTGCCTTCTTAGTCCATCTTGAGATGTAAAGTTAGAGACTAAAGCTCTGATGGTGCAGAGTTTATATTATTCATTTACTAGCCCTTCACTGTTTATTTATTAGACATTAATGTATATCCACATCATGCTGTTGGCTGGATACTTTGGTTGATGGACTATTCTCAGCTCAGTAGTGACACTCAGTAGTTGAAAAACCTCTGCAGCATTGCTATGTGCCATTCTTTCTGTGCAGCACATGCACACACTAAAATGCCACTAGCTATTTATGTTAAAATGTTCTTTATTGACTTCAGCTCAGCATTCAACACTATCATACTCCAGAAGCTTTCACTATTAACCCATAAATGTCCAGATCTTTTACTGTTTCATATGAAAGACAGACAATACAGACTTAACCAGAAAATGATACCTGACAAGTGGCATCATGCCAAACCACTGAACCCTCTTGGATAAAAGACTCCTAAGTCAAAGGCACAGTACAAGAAAGCACACCTATCCCTTATTCAGTTCTGAAAGATGTGTAGGGCCACAGAAGGAACAGACGCCACTTGACTACCACCTAACCATGTGCCACACCATTCAAATCAGGCATAGAGACTTATAGGTACAGCTTCTCTCCACCTACTCCAGAAGACATCACAATAAGAGCAGCTGATTCCCCATAAATACCATCTTATAATGTTCCCTATCATCACTCTGAGAGGATCAGACAACTTCCACCATACTTACAAGATTATGGCCACATAGGCTGACTGGCTACATAGGCTGTCAAAGTTCCTAACCTGGAGATAAAGCAGGCCATTTTTTGAACCTTGATTGCAAATTCTCTGCCATCTCTGACCTCCCAGCACAGTCAGAAAACTAATTTTTAAGGAACATCTGATTCACTGTAGAACACACTCTTTTCAGGGTTGTCCATGTTTTTTTCTTTTTTTTACGTGAACAAACCAAGCCACGTACTGCAAGTCTTACCACAGGGTCCATAAATAGAGAGTGGTGGTGCTAGAATGGCCTTGGGTTTTAAAGCTTCATTTTAAATGACGCTTGAGCAAACAGCACAGAACATTAGTTACTCTTTTCAGTTCTCACACAGGTGAAACCCAGAATGTCTTCACTGCTGTATTTTCTTTGTTTTGGTCATGCTTGCCGTGTAAATACACACATAACTAGTTAACATTTTGCCATAACAATCAAAGAGCTCAATATAATGTATTTTTTTAAATACTCAACAATATTTGTAACAAATTTGCATATAAAATCTGCAGTACCAGCATTGGACTCAATGTGTCCCAGTCTCAGTCTTGACTCAGACTCGGGACTGGCAGTCTTGACTACCTGACAACAGCACTGCTACTTTGTAATAATCAATTAATAATCAATAAGATCACCAATGTAACATGAGCTAGCTTTGTAGCTGTCACTGCGAGCGACAGAGAGCACGTCACTGCGAGCAACAGAGAGCAGCATACCTTAGAGCTTCAGATCGAGCAGTGTCCAAACATTACTTGAAAATTTTTCGCTTAGCAGGCCACTAACCCCCTCACGCCTCTCCCTCTTATTTTGTCTTCTCCCTCTCTCTTTCTCGATCTCTCACACAGATATTTCTTCAGCCCATCCCCCATGGCGTCCCCCCCAAGAACGAGCTCTCCAGGCACTGAGCTCAGAGTTGGCCCAGCTGGACCGGCAGATCACCGCTCTCCTAAAAAAGTAGGGCGAGCTCCTTTGGCAGAAGTCGCAGCTCAAAGCCGCCCGGGAAGTTTCTCCCTCGGTGGTTGCGCCAACCTCGTCTTTTCGCACACCGGGAGACGCCATTCTCATGCCAGCCCCACATGGGATAAAGTAATAATTGAATAAAGTAATAATTGTTGGAGATTTTAATATCCACATAAACAAACCACAGGATCTGCTAAGTAAGGCATTTGTATCTATTTTAGACTGTTTTGGCTTCTGACACTCTAGACTTAATATTGACCTTAGGTATAGACATTAAGCATTTGGCCATCCTTCCTCAGACCACAGCAGTGTCAGATCACTACTTAATCTCTTATGAAATCAGTTTTAGTCGTAATATATGTTCATCCACACGCTATAGTGCTAAGCGTACTATAACATTGTCTACACCCAATAGCTTTATTGAAAACCTTATGAATTAGATATGCTGACTAAATGTTTGGAGGACACTTTTCGCTCTACTTTAGATATTGTGGCTCCACTAAAAAGTAAAAGATTAAGGCAGAAAAGGCTCGCTCCATGGTACAATGATCATACTTGAGCTATGAAACAGACTGTTGGGTGATTAGAGCGTAAATGGCATCAGACTAAACTTGAGGTTTTCCAATCTGCCTGGAAGGAGAGTCTTATAGACTATAGGAAAGCACTAAAGTCAGCACGTTCAGCCTATCTCTCGTCAATGATTGAAAATAACAAGAATAATCCTAGACTACTATTCAGTACAATCTCTAAATTAACTAATAACCAAGCAGCTACTGAAGCCCAGATACCATCTGCCTACAATTTTGAAGTTCATGAAGCAGCAATGACTTCATGAACTTCTTTAATAATAAAATTGAATCGATTAGGCATAAAATTCAAAACACACAGCTAACAATTGCAGTGTCTTATAAATCTAATGCTATAGGTTTACTTAAAGACATTTTGCCAGAAATAACCAAGCCTTTTCTACCTATAATAAACTCTTCTCTCAGCCTCAGCTATATTCAAAAGGCTCTTAAATTAGCTGTAATTAAACCCCTAATTAAGAAACCTAATCTTGATCCCTCTGAGTTATCAAACTATAGACCTATTTCAAATCTTCCCTTTTTATCAAAAATCTTAGAGGAAGCCGTGGCAAAACAATTATGTTCCCATCTGCATAGGAGTAATATACATGAAAAATTTCAGCCTGGCTTCAGGCCTCACCATAGTACTGAAACAGCATTAGTGAAAATGGTAAATGATCTTTTATTATCCGCTGACAAAGGAAACATATCCTTACTGGTTCTACTTGATTTTAGTGCAGTTTCTGACACAATAGACCATTCCATTCTATTAGACAGGCTTGAAAAGCTAGTAGGAGTGACAGGTAAAGCTCTTTCGTGGTTCAAATCTTACCTTAGTGATCGCTATCAGTTTGTTAATGTAAACGGTGAACCATCAGCTCTCACAAGAGTAAAGTATGGTGTTCCACAGGGCTCTGTCTTAGGACCTATATTATTTACCTTATATATGCTACCACTAGGTACCATCATTAGAAAACATGGCATCAGTTTCCACTGCTACGCCGATGATACACAATTGTATATTTCAGCTAAACCAGAGGACAAAATTGAACTTAATAAGATAGAGGACTGTGTAAAAGACATTAAAGACTGGATGTCAAGTAACTTCCTCTTACTAAACTCGGACAAAACAGAAGTTCTTCTTCTTGGTCCAAAAGCTGCTAGGAATAATCTGCCTACGTTTACTCTTAATCTCGATAGTTTCTCAATTGCACCAGGCACATCTGTAAAAACCCTTGGTGTCACGATCGATCCCGATCTGGCCTTCGATGAGCATATTACCAATATTACCAGAATAGCTTTCCTCCACCTGCGTAACATCGCTAATTTAAGAAATGCACTGTCGCTACAGGATGCAGAAACATTAGTTCACGCCTTCATCACGTCCAGGTTAGATTACTGTAATGCTCTGCTTTCTGGTTGTTCCAGCCAAAACCTTAACGAGCTTCAGTTAGTCCAGAACGCTGCAGTCAGAGTTCTCACCAAAACCAGGAAATTTGACCACATTAGCCCAATTTTGTGTACCTTACATTGGTTGCCAGTTAAATTCCGCATTGAGTACAAAATTCTTCTACTGCAATATAAAGCTTTGAATGACCTTGCTCCTCAGTACCTCAGTGACCTTATTTCCTACTATCAACCGACACGCCCACTTAGATCACAAGGTGCAGGCTGATTATTAGTACCTAGAATTAATAAAGTTACGTCAGGGGGAAGAGCCTTTTCATACAAAGCCCCTCAGCTTTGGAATAAGCTACCATTCAGTGTTCGGGACTCAGACACAGCCTCCATCTTTAAGTCTAGGCTAAAAACGTACCTGTTTAGTCGAGCCTTTGTTTAATTAGATTTCCTGTTAGAAAAAGGTGCAGATCTGGGGGTTCACGGACAGAGAGTCTTATGGTAATCTGGGAATGTTGGTGCTGTCGTCCCACTGCTCTGTCGTCCCACTGCTCTGTTGTCCCACTGCTCTTATGCATTCACTCAAGTTTGTTGACGATGGAGCAGAGAGGCGCTGACTCAGGGAGCCCTCATGTCCTTGTTGCCTTCTGGCTCTCCCTCTTAGTTATGCTGCCATAGCCAGGCCTACCGCTGCACTCTGTCAACTTTCTGTTCAGTCACCCATAACAGAACTAATTATCTGTCCCCCTTACCCCTCCCCCTCTCTTTCCCTGAGCTGAGCAGCCGCCCGTCCCAAGCGGGTCTGATGTGAACACCACTCAATCCTGTCCCAGGGGGGTCCGATGCAGCCGGCGCTCTGTCCTCTGTGGTGCTGTCGCTTCATCTGCCATGATTGGATGGGCTGCTCACGTGCATCGTAGAGCCTTGTGCTATGTGGATCCTTGTGTGGTCTTCACTGTACAAAGGACTCTTAACTCCATACCCAACACTGTACAGAACTGTAAAACTGTATCCACTTATACTGTTTTGTGACTGTGCTGTTATGTGTGACTGCTTACATGAATCATGAAACATGAATGTCAGGTGTACAGACACTGTTACTGAGCTCTGCTAAAGCCTAAGTAGACTGATAAATCAATGTGATGATCAGTTATTAATCTCAGTGTTACTGAGCTCTGCTAAAGCCTAAGTAGACTGATAAATCAATGTGATGATCAATTATTTATCTCAGAGTTACTGAGCTCTGCTAAAGACCAAATAGACTGACAAATTAATGTGAAGAGTGTTACTGGGCTCTGCTAATGCCTGAGTAGACTGATAAATCATTGTCAGTTTTTTTGTCTTTCTTTTTTTTAAAAACCTAATTCACACGGTTCCTCGCCGGCACTTGTTAGCAATTTTCTTCCTGTAATCTTAATGAAAAAAATGCCTTTAATGTTTAAATGAAGATTAGAAATTCTTAACATGTTGTCTCACCACCTACTTTAGTCTACTGCTCTCACAATTCCTTGAGCAGGAGTCCAGTACAACACCAATGCTAAGCTTATCACTTGAAAACCACTTATCAGTCTACTCAAGCTTTAGCAGAGCTTAGTAACACCGAGAATAATAACTAACCATCACTTTGATTTATCAGTCAACTCAGGCTTTAGCAGAGCTCAGTAACACTGAGATTAATAACTGATCATCATATTGATTTATCAGTCTACTCAGGCTTTAGCAGAGCTCAGTAACACTGAGATTAATAACTGATAATCACATTGATTTGTCAGTCTACTCAGGCTTTAGCAGAGCCTATCCCAGCAGTCATTGGGCGGAAGGCAGGAACATATCAAACATTGAAATATAAATTTTTATAATTTTAAAAATATATGCACATTTTGAATTTGATGCCAGCAAAATGTTTCAAAAAAATTGAGTTGGGGGCAAATACATATATATATATATATATATATATATATATATATATATATATATATATGTATATGATATATATAGATATATATATATATATCAATGCACATCAATGCCTTCTGTTTTTATTTACATTTTGCACAGCGTCCCAAAATTTTGGAAACAGATATTAAATATGTCAGTTTTTAAAAGGTCTGTCATTATACGTTAAATGTTTCGTTTGACCACATGGAGAAAATAGAAATAAAACATTTGTTAAAGTACATTCAGTGCTTACCAGCACACACCAGACCCACATCACTGTCATGGGAGCAGTTGTGTTTGAGTGAAGATGATATTGGACAGAAGTGAATCTGAGACTCGTTGCCTCTACACTGAAGCTCCTCTGACCACACCTGACCCTCCCCTCTGCCAAAAGCAGCTGCTCCCAGCACCTCCACAGGAAGTCCCACAGCCCAGCTCTCGACACACAACCTCTGCATCCTGCTGGTCAAAGTCAGCATCACACACTGTGGACCAGGTCTCTCCATGAAGCACCTCCACTCTCCCAGAGCAGCGAGAACCACCAACCAGCCTGACTTCTAACATGAGGAAAACAGAGAACATGGAATGCTCTTTTATTACTGATATCAATGTGTTAACTTACATTAACCTACTTTCATTCATCATTTATTGATAACACTATTGATAACACATTGATCAAACATGACAAAAGTACTGGTTTTAGTGACATAACAAAGGTTATAATGAAAACAAATATCAATATTACTAATATATTTCAGTAGTTGGTTACTTAGTTGTGCCCCAATTGAGAGACAAGAGTTCAAAGTTCTCTGGCTTCACGCTGACGTGTTCCCATCTTGCATGTCATACTAAGCTAAAGAGTTCCTGCAGGTAGTTGAAAGAATTTCAGTGTGTCGAGCACAGATTTCAACATGCCTAGAAACACATTGCAAGTATTTGTCATTGTTTGTGCTTTTTATGCAGTGTTCACATCACATACTGTGCTTGGAGAGTTCCAAGTATGTGACGTAAATAAATGTGATATTTAGACAAACAAAAAATTGTGAGCTTTTATGCAGTTCTGAGTCTTGAAAACCCAAAACCAAAAAAGTTGTCACTAGGTAGATAAAATGCAAATAAAAACAGAAAAGAGATCGACTTACAGGTATTTAATTACAAACAGCAAAAAGAAGAGATATTTAATATTTTTGCTTATCAACTGTATCAATTCTTGTAAATATATGCTAATTCCAAATGTGATGCCTGCAATACATTCCAAAAAAACTGAAACAGGGCCAGTGTAAAAGTGGGAAATTTGTGGAATAATGAAAAACATCTGTTTTGGAACTGTCCACAGGTAAACAGATGAATAGGTACCAAGTGAAGTTATCATATATGGGTATAAGATGAGCATTCATTAAAGGCTCAGTATCCACTGTGCAAAAACTGTGCATGAGCAAATAGTTCAACAGTTCATGCATGTTTCTAAATGCATGACTGGTGGAATTTAACAATTTCACCATCTACAGTCCATAAAATTACTAAAAGATTCAGAGAATCCAGAGAAATCTCTGTGCACAGACGGTGAGACTGAAAACCAATACTGAACGCCCGATACCTTCAACTCCTCAGACAGCACTGCATTATAAACTGATTTGTGTCTGTAATGAATATAACCACATGGGCTTGGGAAAACCTTGGAAAACCCTTGTCAGTAAACACATTTCATTGCTGCATCTACAAATACAAGTTAAGACTCTACTATGCAAAGCAGAAGCCATATATCAACATCTAGAAACACCGCCGACTTCTCTCAGTTAAAGCTCATCTGAGATGGACTGACACATTGTGGAAATGTGTGCTGTGGACTAACAAGTCTAGCTTTCAAATTGTTTGCTAAGACTTTAAATTAACACTCTTAAATTAATTGATATTTACGCTGTACTACTGCTAATCAGTTATGATAATATGTTACTAAATACTCATCATTTATAAAACAGGTAACGGTTTATTAAGCATTAGTTATTACTTAGTTACTGAAGAAGTACAGTAAAGTGATTATTTTCCCTACTGATTATATCCTACTAGAATCTCATGATTAAGACATGATTCATTATTGATACCTTGAATTCTTTATAGCTTTTTTTGTTTCCCCTTAAGTAATGCAAAAAAAAGTAAAAATAATAAAAAAAAAAACAATCAGTTATTGTTTGTTTTGTATTATTTGAAACAATAAACCAAACAGGTTTAACATTTTTATTACTATTAAACTAAAATGACAGGTTGTTTAGGGATCCACGAGTGGGTTTCCACGGTATCACTCCAGCAAGAACTTTTCCGGCATCTAAAAATGTAATATAATAGCGTAATCGTATGATACAGGCTGTCAATATGTGTCAATAAAGGGTCAACATTGTGATTCACATTGAAGTGTGTACAGGCTTCTCATAATCATGATGCACACATGACCCACATAATTAGTATATTAGTGGAAGAAGTTGTTACTCTACTTGGAGGGAACATAAAGTAGTAGTTAACAGTTAAGTAAAATGAAGTAAGGACTAATTAATGTTGAAAATGTAAAGAACTCTGAAGATGATGAGGAAGCTGAATATGTGGAGGTGAAGAAAAATGTCCAGTGAAGCCCAAACACCACACAAGACTGAACAGTGGAGGAAAATGTAACAATAAAACGGTAAATTGATTAACAGATAATTTCCGTCACTAACACAGAAGTACTCTTTGCTTCTTTTGTTATTTCTTTATATTAGTGACACATTTGTTTGTTTATAACAGTGTAATAAAAATTAGTTAATGCACAGTTAATGAGCAGCTATGAACTAATAACAAACTAAACTAAAACTAAACATCAGTTAACAAGGAAGGGAAACAATTACAGCAAAATTGAGTAATGCTGAACAATTAGTCAGTCATTGTAGTTGACTGTTACCCTGGAATAGGTGATGTAAATATACTGAGATTACCAAGAATCTGCTGGAAAATGTAACATGTTCCTTTTGTGCTACTTCTAAACAAAATACTATCACTGTATTGTAAAGCACAGATTTGGCAAAATATTCAGAAAATAGTTCAAAACACAAACCACACCACATATAGCTTCATACAACATGTTTTCTGTGTGTGTGTCTTTATGTATCTTTATGTATCTTATAACATCTTTATGTATCTTATTATTATGTGACAATCGAAAAATAGACTTATTATTTGGTCACAATTTCAAAATTAGTGTGTACTTTTAGGTAACGTCTTTGCATATTATTACCCTATCATTATCCACTTATTATCCATCTGTAAAACTCTCATGTCTCCATTTTTATCATTGTTGACATATTTGCATAATTT